CATGTATGTACTAATCCCATTTTTGAATCTAAGCCGAATTAGACCCAAGTTTGGGCTTCTATCTTAAATCTTCATAAGGCCCAAGTTTTGGTTAAAACCCAATAAGACACATATRAGCTCTTGTAATGGGCTTAGCACCTTCTTCAAATTTAATCCATTTAGGGCCTTATATATAATTCGAAAATTTCAACTAAATTTATTATTTGTGTGTAATATTCATGAACAGTAAATAAAAATAATAGTTGTACTAAAAAATAATAAATAAAATTCTTAAAAATTCAATGACTAAAATGGCTATTTATGTTAATTGCCTTTTACTTATTTATTATTTTCTCATTTTGTTTTTCTTACGTAATGGGCCGAAAGCTCGAATTTCCCAAGGAAAGCCCAAATTAGGATCAAGCCCAATTAATAAGCCCAAAATATCGCCGCTTGGAGTTTCGACAAATTGAAAAGAAAGGCTTATTTATTTAAGACCGCCACAATTCCGGGAAGTCCCCTTCGGAGTTCCGACTGCAACCTTGAGTCAGTGATTCGTACGTCCCGCTCATTCATCAATGTCTCGCCGCAGCCATAACGAAGGCGGTGACCAGGAGCTCTCCACCGGCGAGGAAGACGATGAAGATGATGTGTTTGATGAGGACATGGAAGCCCTCCGGCGAGCCTGTAGGCTTGTTGGAGCTAATCCCGAAGAGTATAATAATCCTCCCTTGTCTCCTACCGCCGGAGCTGGCTCGTTCGGCGGTAGCAAACCTGGCTCTGATTCTGATGATGTTGATGATCTCGAACTTGTTCGGAATATACGGAACCGGTTCTCGATTGCGGCCGATGATGAGGACCAGGCTTTGTCTCTGCATCCGTTGAGTACTCTCCCACCGGTGTCGCCGGACGAGGAGGAGGACGATTTCGAGACGCTTCGCGCGATTCAGCGGCGGTTTTCGGCGTATGAAAGTGGTAGGTCTCTCATGATCACTAATTTTGCTTTTATTCCCATCAAGAAAATAAAAAATAAAAAAAAACAAAAACAAAAAAAGCTTGTTTTTTTGAATGTCATCACTGTCTTGGCTGTTCAAGACGCTGTTAGTCCTAAGTCATTTGGTGGTGATAACGATTACACATTCTGAGCTGCACCCACGCAGTATGTAGTATTTTCCAATGGCTTTTTATAACTTGGGAAGAATTGTACATTCCTCCCTCAATCTGGGTTTAAGTTTATGATACTGCACTACGATTCTGTGGCTGCTGTTGGGTGACGTCTCTAACTTGCAAATTAATTCCTTAAGTGCATCTAACCAGAGTTGTAAGATTGATTTTGAGTGCATATTTGGTTGTCGAATCATGGTCAACACTGTTTTGTGACCGGGTAAATATCTTCCGCCAATTCACTATTACTTAGATAATTAATTTTGGGGAAGTGGAGATAAGGACGTCCGTAATGCTTTGCTAGTATGTTTAGAAGTATCCGCACTAAGTGTGCTTTTCATGGGCCTGCTTAGGCATGTCTTCTCGAGTAAGCATATTTGTGAAAGGTTTTAAATGCTACCAATTTGTAGTTGGCCTGTGAACGATATATTAATATTTTTAATCTGTTAGAAATTTCATATCAAATGGTGTGATTTTTCGTGCTTCTACAGCTATTTTCTTGTATATCATTTGCAGTTTTTACATTCTGCAACTTGGTTCACTTAAGCTCTAAACTGARTATGTATTGGAAGTTTTCTTTTAAGGTTTTTGTTCCTCTTACCATAAAGACGTGACGACTTGTATTATGCAGATGCTTTGAGCAATAATCTCGATCAGTCTTGTGACTTTGGTGGGCCTCTAGAGATGGATTCCAACGAAACAGATGTTGGGAGACAGACTTCCTCAGGAAGGTACCAACATGTTGTAGAATTTGCAATACTAATGCTTTTTAGTAATATTTTGGTTCTAAACTGCTTCTTCCTTATATTTTTTGTGCTGTATATTACTGAGCCTTTATTGGGTGGTGATTACCCAATGTTGTAGGTCGTCTATGCTAGCCCTTGAAAAGGGAAATTTGCCTAAGGCTGCATTGGCATTTATTGATGCAATCAAGAAGAATAGGTCTCAGCAGAAGTTTATTCGAAGTAAGATGATTCACCTTGAAGCTAGAATTGAGGAGAACAAAAAGCTTAGACAACGTTTCAAAATTCTCAAAGATTTCCAGAGTTCATGTAGAAGGAGAACAGGTTATCAACTGTCTCAGATGATTGATCCTCGAGTCCAGTTAATTTCAGCACAAAAACCACAGACTAAGGATTCATCAAAGGTTAGATGATAATTTATGCTTGTCTGTCTCATACTACTGACTGTTTAAAGTTTTGAAGTATATATACAATATCAACAGTTTGTCTATTTATTTTGAACAATTTTTGAACAATAAACAAACTTTTCATTAATTTGGTGAAATTTGATATTACCAATTCTATCATCTCATTGGTCCAAAGGAGCTCGGGTAAATCGAGAGGGAATGAGTTCAAATCTCATGATGGCGACCTACCTTAGAAATTAATTCCTATGTGTTTCCCGCACCAAATGTTGTAGGATCAAGCGACCTCCTGTGAGATTAGTTGAGATTAGATGTATTATTTTAATCCTTTAAGCCAAATTTAATCCTTTCATTAAAGCTAGCCAGAACATAATATTAACTTTTTAAAGACCTTTGACTTTGTACAAGGTTGAAACGAAGGTCTTTGCAATGAAACGTTGTGTTGAACTGAAATTCCACCCTCTTATATCTTCACTTTCAAAAATTATGCACTTTCATGAAGATTCTGCCCTCTCTTTTCCTTTTTGTCCCAAGTTAAGAGCAACAGTTTTTGGGATTTGAAACTTACATGCAGTAAGTTGTTAAGCTAGATAGCACTGCACTAGACCACGTCAACCTTTCTCKCTTAGCTCATCTACTGTTCCAACCTATTAGATCCTTTTGTTTGGAGGTTATTGTATATTTTGTTACCATTAACTGACTAACAGTAAGTAATGCCAATGAACCTGGGGCTCTATGTTTTACAGTAATGCTGATCTACCCGAGAGTTCTATGCTTTTATGTCAATTATACCAAGAAGTTTTTAAAAGATCATATTCCATGCACGTTGGCCAGTGATGTCGGCTTTGTTTAAGTTTCATGCACCATTCCTAACATTTCTGTTCTGTGATTTCTGACGTTTGATTCTCGGTTCTTGATCTGAAAATCTTCTTCCTCTGTTTTTCTTTCTTTATTCTTTTGCCTTAAGCTTCTGCTCGTGATTTATCCCTTTAATTCTTATATGGAGTTCTTACTTTGTTGCTACAGAAGGACAAACAGTTATCTGCAATGTATTATGGCCCAGCTGAGAATTCTCATGTTGCATGCTACAGAATGGCATTGACAAAGTTTCCACTTTCAGTAAATCGAAAAAAATGGTCCAATGTAGAAAGGGAGAATCTTGGGAAGGGAATAAGACAGCAATTTCAAGAAATGGTTCTTCAAATTTCAATGGATCAAATCAGGTAAGTTTTTGTCTACTACATTAACCTCATGCTATAATTTTAAGCAGTTCTAGAACTTTCTTCGAACCCTGTTTCCATTTTGCAATGGTATTATAATGATGCCATGAGAGTCTTTCATTCTTATTATTATTAAAATTAAAATATGTTCACTCTTTTAACTATTAAAATAATTACTTAAATCTCACATCGCTCTAAAGATTTTATTTGTTCAGAGTTCCTTTATTTCCCCGTTTTCTCTAAATTGCATAGGAGAGATAAATTTTCAAGTTATAGGAAATGGGTTGCGAGGAAACTGTGCTTTTGCTTAATGCTATTGGGGCCATTCCTGGGAAGTGTGGTGGGAGAGAAATAGGAAAAATTTTCCAGCAGTGAAATGTTATGTCAGGATATGTTGGATGTAGTTCTAGTTGGTCTTCTGGCCTCCTTTTTGGAGCGTTGTATCCAATAATTTTTGTAACTACTTATCCTTTTTCCTACTCGATTGTAGTCTTTTTGTGACTCCTTTGCTTCTTTGAGGGGGAGGTTTCTCTCCTTTTTTATTTCATCTGTCAGATGAAGTATCTGTGTTTATAAGAATGGAAGAAAGAGAAAAGGTTGTTAAATGTTAATGTCCCTTTACTCAAACCTATCTCTAGGTCTGATGATGCCCCTTTTCTCCAGAAGGCTTATTGAAATTTATGGTTTTTAGCAGTGGGCTACAAGGATTTTCAGCAGATTCAGATGATCTGGATAACATTTTTGCATCAATAAAAGAYCTTGACATTACTCCTGAGAGGATTAGGGAATTTCTGCCAAAAGTAAATTGGGACAAATTGGCTTCCTTTTATCTTGGGGGTCGCTCAGGTGCAGAATGTGAAGCCAGGTATGTAMTTCAAGACTTATTTTTCCTGGGCAGCAATGTTTTCTTTAAATCTCTATTTTGTGAACTATCTTTACATTATCACATAGATATTTTTTCTGGCTAAATATATAATTTCGTCTTTAAATTGAGTACATCAAATCAACCTTGTGATTGATTTGACATTGTATTAAATATGATTAACTGTGTAGGAACCACTGAATGTTTTAATTTAATGAGTAAGACATGACTGTCCATAAAATCAAACACACAAAAACACCAATTTTGAATTTCATCATTATTCTTAACATTTATGGGTGGTAAGGACTAAATCTAACATAAACGAATAAATCTAATAAATAAAGGAGGATGAAGTTGAAACTTATATAACATTGGGATCAATTGAAAGGGACCAAATTGAAAATTATTAGCCTAATTTTTTAATGGCTGTCAATTTATCTTGGAGTGAAAATGTTGACCATAGAGGATCCTTCCGAGAAATATTTAAAGATGAGCCTGTATCTTTCAAGTTCAAGCACTTTGACGCTTGAATAATTCTCAAGTTGTTATCCCTAGGAATTTGAGGCTACAGCGTATGCCAGTGCTTTCATCAACCTGACTTGAACCAATTTTTAACGATGGAATTATGTGCCCTTCTTCGATTTGGTAGTTATCTTTTTTTTTCTTTAAATAATACAGGGGCTTTTGTTATTGGTATAGTGCAGTTCTTGCTGAGTACATATTGATATTTTCTGTGTAGCATGTCAACTTCAATCAGCATCGCAGAAGTCTATGACGATCATCATCACAGATATATTGACCATAATTGGTTTTGAATAATAGTGCGAGGTCTTCGTATTATAGTACAGGTGGGACCAACTTGTAACAAGTGCCTTATTCAAACAGTGGTCTTGAATATGTCTGTGATGACAATCATCACAGACATCTGTGATGTCTTATCTGTCCTTGAATTACACGTTTGTATGTATATTATCTGACTTGATGATTGTCGTTGATAATCCTTGTAGGTGGTTGAATTTTGAAGATCCTCTAATTAATCGGAATCCATGGTCTACAAGTGAGGATAAGAATCTTTTGCTTACTATCCAACAGAAAGGGCTGAATAACTGGATTAACATAGCAGTTTCATTGGGTACGAACAGAACTCCTTTTCAGTGCTTGTCTCGGTATCAAAGGAGTTTAAATGCTTCCATATTAAAGAGGGAGTGGACCAAAGATGAGGATGATAAACTCCGATCTGCTGTTGCCGTTCTTGGTGTAGGAGATTGGCAGGCAATAGCTTCTACTTTGGAAGGACGAGCTGGTACACAGTGCTCTAATAGGTTGGTCTTGGTTACCATATGTGACCATTTCAGTTTTTGCTCCGATTTCATCTTTGCAGCATGTCATGCGTGAATCATTCTTCAAAGTGAAATAAAGTGTCCCTAGCAAGGGCTTGAGATGTTTCAGGAGATTTTCTCCAAGGTCTTACGTTTAAATTTCAATTGTAAAGTTCAACATATCAAAATCCCCATTATATCCTATTGACCTCTAATGAGGGTTTGAGACATTTCGTGCTGGCTGGTTATTTGTGCATATGATAGTAGATGAACAGTTTCTTTGTTCTTGTAAAGTGTTTGCCAAGTTCTTCAAAGAGCCTACGAGGTGTGCAATTGCACAATTTGAGTTGTCTATGTCCTGCCTTGCTGATGGATAGAGACCATCTGCTGACTGAAGATTATGACAGCAGCTTAGGAATTATGGACATATAACATGTCAATAGTTTTATGTTCCGTTCACCATTATATCTTATTCATTCTCGGTTTCCTTTGTGCTGTTCTGTGCCAAAATGACGATTGGTTTTTTGTGCATTCATTCAATTGCTATAATTAATTTCTTCTATTATGCATTATGCAGATGGAAAAAATCCCTTGACCCAGCTAGGACAAAAAGAGGCGCGTTCACTCCAGATGAAGACAATCGCTTGAAAATTGCCGTACTGCTTTTTGGGCCTAAAAATTGGAACAAGAAAGCAGAATTTGTACCTGGTCGAAATCAAGTTCAATGCAGAGAAAGGTGTGTTAAGTTGACCTCTTTTCTACCTTGTTCTCATTAACKTAATGCCTTTGATAAACAGAATATTACTTCTTAGCTCTGATTTCACTTTTCACTAATTGTGATGGCAGATGGTTCAATTGTTTAGATCCTTCCTTGAGAAAGTGTGAATGGACAGAAGAGGAGGATTTAAGGCTCGAAATAGCAATTCAGGAGCATGGATATAGCTGGACAAAGGTAGCTGCATGTGTGCCTTCACGTACAGATAATGAGTGCCGGAGGTAATGGTTTGTCGATTGAGTCTGCAAGTTTCCATCTGCTTCAAACCTGTTATTTGATTGAAAGAAATTTATACTTGTCGGATGTTACTTTAAAATTTTCTGCATTCTCTTATTTCTATATTTTTTCTTCGTATTAGGAGATGGAAGAAGTTATTCCCCAATGAAGTTCCCTTGCTCCAGGAAGCTAGAAGGATTCAGAAGGCTGCTCTTATTAGCAACTTTGTTGATAGAGAATCAGAGCGTCCTGCTTTAGGTCCTACTGACTTTCGACCTATACCCAATACAAATTTATTATGTAATGCGGATGATCCAAATCCTGCCCCAAAAAGAAATGTCAAGCCGAGGTTGGTTCTAGTATGACACCCTTGTAATTTCGTTTTATTTTTTTTTCATTTCGTGYAAGTTGTACTCTAGTTTTGACTTGAGGTATCATGGTTTACAGGACACGAGTGCCAAGGAAGGAAAAGAATGCTACTGGGTACGTTATGTTTTTCCTTTATTGATCTAAACTCGGGCTTTTTCTTTTTTCTTTTTTCTTTTTATTTTTGAAAGACATCTGTAGTGGGGCATTGAAGCTGTTATTAATTTTTTCTTCATATTTGTTACTCTGCAGTTTTTTGTTTCCTGAATTAGCATCCACGTTAGAATTTTCAAGTCTATTGAACTTCATTTTATTTTTCTACAGCGATGCTCCAAAGAGGAGGAAATCAAATAACCATAGCAATCAAGCTAATGGAGCAACTGAGCAGGTATCTAAAAAACCTCAAAGAAGACAAAATAGAAATGGAGCTTATACTGCTAAGAGGAAAGGGGTTCTGGAGCCACGTCCTAACAATGAGAAATGTGCTGAACAAAATTTGGAAACTGAGAGCCTCGAGGTGCAGCTGAATAGTAGCGTATCAGGGAGGACCAACAGTGAGTGCCCCGAGATTGTTTATGAGAATGGTATGGAGGAATGTGAGAACAAAGTGGCAGAGAAGCTTTCTAAAAGTGATTTATTCTTTYCAGAACAGGAAGAATRTCAGAACTCGACAGGGTCTTCTGGAGTGTCAGTATTGTCAGAAATGATGAACGACATGGACGAGTATAATCCCTCTATCCTTCCAGACACAGCACCGTTGGCTTGTACTACTGGGGATGACGATATAACGGAAAGGAAGGACACAAGGGTTGCAGACACGGATCTGGTTGACAGTAACAGTTTCTCGTTACCGCATGGTTGCTTAGGACTCAGGACTAATGACAGTGAAGGCGTCGATAGCTGTTCTGTCGGTGAAACTACAGATAAAAGCGATATGGTTTATAAGCACCAAGGTAGAAGGAGGAGAACTAATCAACCAAAGAAGGAGCTGGAGAGATCAGCGAACAAGGAGCTTCATCCTCATAACCAACCAAAGAAGCGAAAGCATAACAGCACATATACAAGTGAGTCGGGAACATTGGAGCCAGTCGAAGAAGCAGATGACTGCACTCTCCAAGGCTTTCTGCAAAAGAAATTGAAGAAGACAACCACTCATAAAAGGAAATTTGATGGCGGTTCTAGCGATAAACTAGAAGTTGAAAGCAATGGTAATGATACTACTATCGCCTCGTTTCTCAAGAATATATCGAAGAAAAAGAAGCATAAAAGCTCCTAATGGTGGTGGGTGATGTTATTTAGCCATCCTGTTCGGCGGAGCTCGGAAGCAGAAGCAGATTGATGATGGAAAGCTGTACAAATATTAGGCCAATGGTGAGAGCGAGTGTACCAAATAAAGCTCAGAGGCCGCAGAATAGTTAATTCCACAGCTAAAGGATTTGAGTTTTATGGTTGACGTTGACGAATTTTTGGTTTGTGATGTAGCTGAGAGGTTTAGTGATTTTGTCTGTGTCAAAAGTCATTTTTTGCGCTAATTTCCTTTGTCAACATTTTCACAAGCGAGCAAATTTTGATGAGTTGCCCGGTAGTGATAATCTTCTCTTTGTATATTTCTCGCCTTAAATGAAATCAGAGGATGTGTATAGGCCTTTTTACCTTTTTGGTTAGTTCGCCCTATTGTTGGAAATTGTTCTATTTTTTTTCTGTTCTTAATATCAATGGCTTTTTATTTTTGTTATATAAGTACTTCAGAAGTACAAATGCCAACGAACGATCTGATTGGATTATATCCTGATTCCCATGTACGGCTTTATACTTTCTCTGGTTTGTAAAAATATTGGTCCAATCTGTTTCACCTTATTATTGCTTTAATTGACYAACAGCAAAAATTGTAAACCGCATGCTCTAACTTTTCTTATATTTCTAATGCTGTTTAGAAAATTCCTTTAAAAAGTTTTTCTGTCCTCTATTTTGAATTACACATGAAAATTACTATCCCAGCAAAAAGTAACTTTATTTCTTTTTGAAAAAAAAAATATGCCATTCATAACCATCATATTTTGTTATTAAGAATTATGTTTAATTCCTCATCATTTATTTGATAATATTTTTCTTAAAAATTGCTTTACTTTCTTGATAAACTTGAAAATGTTGTCTGACACTTCAGTTTTTGAAATCTATAATAGACAAGCCGTATAACTACAAGACAGAAGTTTTAATTCAAACCAGGRAAAAAAATCTAAAAACAGTTTCAAACGGAACATCAGCCAGAAGAAAGTTCTGTTTCGCAGTTGCATATTGTCGTGGCATCATCAATCATCAAGAATTTATAGAATCAAAATGTTGTMGCGCATAAAGACCACATGCATTCACCAGCAAAGACTAATTTCAAGTGTTCCAGTTCTTAGACTTGAAGATGCTTTCAAGACAGTGGACATGTCGTCATCATCATCGAGATTTTACGGTGTAACGATGCTTCTTAAAGAAAATATCAGCAGCAAATTTAACTCTGAATTTTGGCATACTCCAAAGACAAAACATTGTTGACCTCGAAGTCATTTCAACATAAACTTAAGAAAACCAAATAATTCATCACTCCCACAGCAAAACCCTAAAGAAAATTCTAAGTACTGATACTTGTAATGAGTAGTAAGGTCTGAAAAGTTTCTTCTCAAAATAGAAACAAAAAAGTGCATCTGGAAATAATCATCATGGATTTTCTTTCTAATAGCGACCAATTCCCCAAACTCTGATCACTCCATCCGTGTAGCCACTAAACAATGTGCTCCCATCTGCACTCCAGCTCAAACTTGTGCAGTAGATAACCTGAAAATCAAACAYAAACTTCAATCAGACACAAGTCATTCAATGAGAGATTTTGTTGAACTTCTCCCAAGWCGGTCACTCTACAAATCACCCTTATTAYGGGAACTCTATTCTATGCCACCATTGACCAACATGATAACAACATCGATTTATGTTGGAGTACTGAGTACCATTTGATTCTTTGATGTGCATGGAAGGAAAGAACGAAATAAATTTACATCTTTTTCACACCCAACAACAAAAACAAGGAAAACCCATGTAGAATGGGTAACAATCTCCACAGTTCATATTAAATTGACCGGAATGTGTAAACCTTGATTTCATCAACCAAGTAAAAATGAAATATTATGAAGTGGAAAGGAACATGCGAGGCAATTACAGATGGAAAAGAGGCTAAATCAGTAATCAACTACACATGCATTGCTAATGGCCAACAAAAATGAATAATAGAATTGGATAACAAATCAATAAGATAATTGAGTCGCTCTATCTTCAGAGTCACGAATAAGTGCTGAAACAGTTCCAGGAAAAAGTGGAGTAGCAAAATGCACCAGGCATAACCAGTGTAATTGGTAATTGCAAGCAGAACCAGACTAATTCAATCAACCATAAACGAACAAAGAACAACAATTGAAACGCCTCAAATTATCRCAGCGAATTGGGAAATAGACACACGAGTGTAAAGCAGAGCATTCAACGAAACGCATGAGCAATGGAGAAAAGAATAAAGTGAATATACCTTAATCTTGTTGGCAGTAGCAGCATGGGTGTCGTCAGTTTTCTCAGCCTCGGTTTTCAAATCGACTTTCAAGTCCTCAACAATGCTCTTGCTCTCCAAGTCCCAGATCTTAATACTGCTCTCAGTGGCAGCACAGAGCCAGTACCTGTTGGGGCTGAAACAAAGAGCATGAATAATCGATCCGGCATCCAACGAATAGAGCCTCTTACCCTCGGCCAAGTCCCACAGCAAAATAACTCCGTCTTTGCCTCCGCTGGCGCACAGCGAGCCGTCCGGCGAAACCGCCACCGTGTTCACATAACCGGCGTGGCCAGCGAGAGTGACTCTCAACTTGCAATTGGTCAAGTTCCAAACCTTGACGGTTTTATCCCAAGACGCGGAAACAATCGTCGGCTGCA